GAATTTAGTCAATCAGATGTGTAAAAATTACTCGTTTCGTTTCAATTTTATGTTTATGCTCGAAACTGTTCATGTTTACAATAGCAATTCTAACAATCTTGCCCTCCTTTTCGCCTTTGAGGCGTTGGTGTTGATTTATACACAAAATTCAAAACTCAAAAATATTTACTGGTCTGGGTACATGTAAAACGAAGACCTAAAATCTAAATTCCCAAAAGCAGCTTTAATACGGTCAAATTTTCCGAAGTCTGATTTAGTTGTTTCAAAAGTATAGAATACACACACACTTCTGTATGGATTTCGTACATGTTCTACATGTCTTACAGTAAAACAGTACATGTCTTTCCGCGGTTTGTTGTGATTTAGTTAATACTGTAATTTGTTCTGTTTTTCTGTAGCGATTACCGATTTATCGGCAAATACCGCGATTTGAAAACTTACTTTTCTTTATTTATTTCATTCTACAGCATTTATAGTTCTACAGCTATCTTATACAGTTTTATAATATTGTGAATAATTCCGAATATTCAAAACGAATTGAAAGAATGAAAGCAGTAATGATGTACTGTATAACGGTTTAAACTTAGCCGGCCGTACAGCTCACTGCCACCGGTCACTGAGCCGAAGGATAAACCGAAAATTCACTTTTCTCATCACAAGATTTAATGTTCAGTCGATCCGCTACATTGAAAGATGAGCATACTTGGCTATTTTTTGGCAGGGGTAACGAAATATATCGGCTGTTCTCTACAGTAAGTGTTTCTTTATGTGTTGCCCATCGGAATATAATATAACTACATAAGCTTGATAGATGTAAGACAACGAGTTTCACAATCCCATTTTAAATACTATGGCTTTTGGCAGCCTGGTTTTGCATCATATGTGTTTTTCAGTAAAAGCCCCATTTTCCTACTTCCCCAACGTGTAATACGCGAAAAAAACTTTTTTAATAATAACAAAAAATTGTAATAGTAAACAGTGTATTTTATTATAAAGGATTTTCGTTTTTCTACTGCTCCGTACTTCGTGTGCTCCGTGCTCCGTGTGCTCCGTACTCCGTGTGCTCCGTGTTTTACTAATAGCCCCCCTCCCGGGATTTCTAATGGTCCGCCCCTTACCGTGACCGTGCACAAATTAACATAAACTCAGACAAAAACATAACACATTGACTTATGTTAAGTTTCCAGACCATCACATCTTGATAGACTACTGTATGGTAACACTAATGCAAAAATTCTAACCAAGACGTTCATAATAATTTTCTTGTACTTGCTTCAGCTTCGTGTAGTACATGGCTTACTCTTCGCCCTTGGAAACGCAAATCACCCCGATTCCCAAAGACAAGCTGCGATTACCCTGGAAGTAAGTTAATTAAAGTTTTAACTTTTTGCTAATTATAGATACTTATTTTTGCGACCAACAAGGAAACTGGAGATAAAGGAATATATTTGCATGAAGCTCAGTCCTGTTGTTAGGTTACGCGTGTAGTGCTAATTCATGCACTCGAAACGTCCAAGCGTTTTTTAAAAAAGATTAAAATTAAATCAAAATTTAATTTTCCTAAAAGGATTAAATTCCTTTTCAAATATTGCAGAGACAACCATGTCAACCGAATTATAAAGCGTTGACCGGACGTGAGGAAACAGGTTTCCTACCTGCTTTTGTTACTGATTATTGTATTCTAATTTGTAGTTTTTTGTTCGCTCCTTTCCGTTTGTCAACGATAAAGTAAAAGAAGCTTTGGGCGAAACTTTTTATGAAGAATTTCTGGTGAGTTGACTTTATTTTGCAATACCATATAAAACGTTTATTTTATTTCTTCTAATGCACTTAATCTCTCTCCCAGAAAAATCCCGATGATTTGTACGTGAAACTGACTTCTATCCAAGCAGACGTTTTGTCATCTAACAAAATAAACATTCCTGGAGGTATAGAGCATTTTATTTTAATAAATATGCATGATCAAATTCAAATTTGGTTGAGGTACTTCCCCTGCATGGGTTTAATCGAATACTCGATACCCTATATTTTCGTTTGTTCTAACCTTCTAAAACTATTTCAAATGCATGCAGCAAGCAATGAGATCTCAGGACTGGCTGGAACTCCAGGTATATTGCAATGTACGCCATTTAATTTCTGGAAGTATATATCTCACATTTATGATAGGAATATTCATCTCACAGGGTTCGTAGCGGTCTTTGAAATCCTTGAAAGTCTTTAAATTGGAATGCAGGTCTTTCAGGTCTTTGAAAAGTCTTCAAATTGTGTGAAAAAGCGAAGAAAGTCTTTAAAAGCCTTTAAATTCTTTAGTGAGGAATTGATTATACGATTTCCTAGCTAATAAAATAGATTGATTGAATCAAGATTTTCGGAAATATCGACGAAAATGCGCATTTTAGGATGTGATTTGACGCGACTAATTACTGGGTAAAAATGGTGCTTACACTCGCAATTTTTCGACAGCTGATTGCTCTCAAAGGTCTTTGAAAAGTCTTTGAAAATAGGCAGAAAAAATCTTTGAAAGTCTTTGAATTTTTTTGGTCTTGGAGACTACGAACCCTGTCTCATAGGCATAGACTAACGTTTACAGTATAGTTTGGGTATAATTGGTACATCGAGCCCATATTGCTACTGTAGCTTGGCCTCAAATAAACATATATTCAATTTGACATTTTGTATGCACAATAGACAAACTCATGGCCATGCACCTTACTCCTTAGTCCCTGCCTCATCCCCAGGTGCTACGAAACGATTTCACATACGACTGATACGAGTCACTATATGAAAGGTTTGCATGAACTAGTGCGTCATTATACTGTAGGCGCACAAACTAGGGGATGGGATATGAGCGTTACCCCATAACCCCTGCGCTTGTTCATCGCGATGCACTACTTCATGTATACCTTTTATATAATAGTGACTCGTATGTGAAATCTTTTTATAACACTGGGGACGAGGCAGCCTTAGTCTTCAAAGAAGTTGAAAACTAATTAGGTAGAATTTATATTCATTGCAAATATATCTTTTTACCATGCGTCTTAGACACTGAAGTACAAGAATAAAAGAGCGGTTATGTTGAAATGTGCAGATCAATTCGGAAGTCACAAGCTGCCTAGACCAATAATGCAGAAAATAACATTAATAATTTATTAATAAATTAGATCTCGCTATTCAGTTCCAGAAGTTACTTTTCAGTTAATTTTTATAGAAACATTTGGTTTGATAGCGTGCATGACGTGCAGTGTCCTCGCCCATGATTTCCAAGATGCAAACGGATACAAAATGTATTATAATCAGGCAAACAACTTTAACATTATTTTTTATTTCGTAACAATTTCATAGACATAGTACGCATCTCTGAGTACGCATAAATTTTCACTGCCTCGCAGTGAAGCAAATCTATTCATAAATATAATTTCTATTTAACAGTATTGATAGTCTAATTTAATATTTGCCTTAAGACCGTTTTCCATCAAAACACATAGCGTATTTCCATGTTTTTCCTGAGCACTAGAGTGCAACTAATGACTGAAAATGCAATGATATATTACGATACGGTTGAAGTGGAAAACGGTCTTAAGGCCTGTCTACACGATACAATTCTTATTCTGGCCTATGTTATCGAATAAACACGCGTAAGGAAATTTCGCCATAAACCAAAAAAAGACGAATTGTAGGGGCAGCAGTAATTTTCATACGCCAGAAAAACAATCGTATATGACTAGACAGGCTAGTGAATTTTGAGCTCGGTCCATTTCAGATCTCGAACGTTGTTTCTAAACGATCTAGTGAATTTATATACGAGTTATCCAGGAACTCGATCGTTAATTTATACGAGATCCAATGTCTGAAATGGACCTATATAAAACTAATTCAGTTATGGTTGTCCTGTTGAAACTCGAAATTGGAAAACCTCGACCTCTATGCACGAAAAGTACAATGATGTACATACAGTGTATAATCAAGTATGGATGGGGCTTGCAAATTGTGTTTTGCAAAATGCTACGAACAAATAGTTCTAAGCATTTAAATAGCATAAATACAAGACATATACTTAAAATTAGTACATAACATAACAACTGGTGCTGACATGCACGCATAACCAATCTCGTTATAAACACACCCATTGTGCTTTTCGCGCTTAGAGTTTTGTGGTTCAGAGGACAATGTTAATTGAATTAGCTGTATACAGGTAAATTATGTTTGAATTCTTATTCACAATATGATGACATATTCCGTTGCGTTACAGTAAACGTGAAGAATACGAGCAATAAAATCGCTGCAACTTGCAAAAGTAGGTTACTTTACAGGGGCCAAGGCGTTTATTTATTATAATAATAATTTAATGCTTATATCGCGCAAATTTACATTCATATATGATCAACGTCACCATAATTGGGCTGGTATACAAGTCGTGGTGACTACATTTATAAAAAAATAGTGCCTTGATCCCTGTGGCGGCTCTCCATATTACACATTTTACTACCTGCACCAAAACCCGCCAAAGTAGTGGATACAAAACATTTGTTGAAATCAGCTTTTGTTGGAAGTTGCAGCAAATTGTGTTGCTCGTTGCAACAACCTTAACAGTGGGAGTGACATTGGATGGTGAAAATACAATGGCTAACACTTCTTGTCAAACCATTTATCGCAAGCTTAATAAATTACATAATTACAGTATTGACAAAAATAAGATTTGGTGGAATTTTCTAGTAGTGAATGACTGAATTCAATTTGCAAATTGGCTTATTGCAAATGTTTTCCGCTTGCACTCGGCCAAGAAGGTTCGATGCAGTTGTCAAAATGGTCAAAGTTAAGTAATTTAATCACCCCAATCCAAAGTCAAGATTCATGATGTAGATTCTCTAATGTAAGCACCGTGTGCTATATTGGTCCTAAGGACAGGGTTCAAAATTGTACTAAAGATTTAATACTTTATTCTTAATAAGAGGAAAATCGATGGGACTGACAGTATACACCTGCTGGACATTGTACAAAAAATAGTTTACAGTATGTCACTACCTTTCTCCCCAGAAAATACAACAATTAAAACTCAAAATTGCACTACCTCTTGTAGTAATACTCAACGCAACTCCTTGTATTTGATGCAAGATTTTGGTAATTTATTCCATTTTTAACGGTCAGTTGCCTTCATAGGTCACCTAACGATTTTTGAAGGCGATGATGAAGGCGATGATGAAGGCGATTCTAAAAGATCAAAAGAACATCATGATATACAGATTTGATTTGGGTTTCGTCATATGTTTTTCGAGTGAGTGGGTAGAGGCAGAAACAAGAAAAACAGTAAATACGTGGAAAACGCGTTACTTATAATTTTTTGTTAGGTAAACGATGCTAAAACTAGGATTAGGACCAAGGGCTGTGTATTTCGTATGTGTGTGTTTGTCTGTATTAATGCGAAAATTTGTGAAACTAACGGACATTGCCCAGGGACAAATTAATCAAATTTTGGTTAAATTTGGAAGAAAATTGGATGAGAGATTAGCAAACGTTTGTCTTGCTATGTCGGGCAGAGTAAACTAAAAGCATAATGAGCCCATTGTATAATTTATGCTTGATCCATAACTTAATTCCTGGCGTAGGTATGCAGTCTCCGAGTGCCCTCTAATATTAGGACCAAAAATATGCGTCCATGCAGTGAAGAAGGGTGTCCATCAAAGAGTGTTGTCCAGTATAGGGGTTATAGGGTTTCAAGTGTGATTTTTTCGAGTAAAAATTATATGGGCAAATCAATACATTGGATCCAACCGTATAACAAGAAAGAGTAAAGTAAATTAATTTCCCGACATAAGTGAAGTACAAGCAAAATAAAAACTTACCATACATGCATATAGCATTCGAACAATGTGTACTACGTTTTTTGTTTCTCCTTCCCTCTGTGGAAAAAACTGAAAATATTCCAATTCCTTTTGTGTTTTGTTTTCTGAGGGGATTGACGAGGAGTAAATGTCTTTGTTTTATCTTTTGCTGTTACTCTTAGCGCTTCAACATCTGATTCAGAGAAACATCGCGGTATTGGTTTTGACACATGAAATCCATTGATATCCGTGCTTTGTGAAGTTTTAATACCCTCCCTGAATGAGGATTCAGACCAAGTCGCTAGATAGGGATCATCGTTTTCACAACTGCTTGGGTTGTCTGTGTCTTCATATTCACCCATAGGAACTGGAGAAACAGCAGTCTGTCTTCGTTCGGCGTACGGAGTGGTACACGAGCTTGCCGTCGGCGTGCCTTCCTCGTACGAACTTCTACACGAGCAAGCAGTACTTGCACTCGCCTCACTACGAGGTGTTGTCATAGGAGACTGCGTGTTGGATGCATTGTCTTGTTCAGCGAAGTTTGAGCACGAGGGGTCGACACTATCAGGTCTTAAATAATCCCTCGACGAGATTTCTTTGTTTCCATGAAAACACGCGTCGCTCGCGCTTCTTTCTTTATGTGTTAAAAACATCCGAAAAGAGCGCAACCTCGGTCTGTCATCGACCACATCGTACGTGGTTTTTGATCGAGATTTTTTCCGCCCATCAAATTTATGTTTCTTCTGTACGTGTAAGACCCTAGTAAAGAATCCTGCCAATTTACTTGGCGTATTCTTCACAAGATCTTCAGTGTCTACATGTGGTTTAAAGTATTTATATCTCAGCCCAGCGAAGAATGAGTGGCGTTTATTAGAATGTCCTCTACGACATGGCGTGACATCTGAATGTAATTTATCCTCCTCTACAGGCTTTGCACCGTCTGTTGATCCGTTCGTGATTGGTGCTGCACCATTTTCACAGACACAGTCTTCATCCCAAGAATGAATGATTTTCACATGTGTTTCTAGGGTTTTCTTTGATCCGTTCGTGATCGGTGCTGCACCATTTTCACAGACACAGTCTTCATCCCAAGAATGAATATTTTTCACAGGTGTTTCTAGGGTTTTCTTTGAATCAATGATCCAGTCTTCAATGTTAGCAGACATACGTTGACTACCATGACGAGTGTCTTGTATCAACATAGTAGGTGAACCAACGACAATCTCCAACTGACGTATATATTCCAAGAATCTTGCTGTGAGTTCAAACGGAGGCCGTGACTGCGGATCGAGCTAAGAGAGAAGATAAGAAAAAATAGATATCATTGTAAAGGCCATGTTGCAATACAATTAAATATCATACAATAATTATCAGAGAGTACACAAAGCTTCACGTTGATCGGACATGCGGCAGGCAAAGAAACGTTTCTTTATAGGATTTTTGTGGGTCTAGGTTCTCATGCGCAAACTTCGTACTAAGGTCCATCTACACGATACAACTAGTCGTATACAATTCTTATCCTGGCGTATGTACTCCAATAAATGCGTGTAAAGATGTCACATTTCAAATTTCGCCATAAACTGATGAACAGGAATAGTGGCGTCAGGAGTCATTTTCATACGCCAGAATGACAATCGTGTATAAGTATCGTGTAAATAGGCCTTTAGAGAGCTTTACATTTGGCTACGAGTATGACTGCAAGATTCGTTTATTTGGATATAACGCCGTGTTGATACGCTATCATCAATATACTGACGTCTTACAAATCTCGTAGCCGTCGACAAAATCTACGAGATTATGGCGTGAGTACGGAATGGCATAAGAAAATGGCGAGTACTTGCAAACAACGAATTTCGTAGGTGCACTCGTAGGCAAATCTAAAGCTCTGTATTATACCTGACAACAGCACACTGCTAACTGAAGAAACTCCGGAGGACAACCAAGCACTAACTCGCGAAATTTGTCCACGTCAAGACCAAAGTGCTACGTCAAGAAAATAAGAGTAACATAAATTGTTACAATCGACGTATCTATTTTTGAAATCAGTAAGATAATGCAGTTACAGTAGGAAACAAAGTACTATGCACTGCTTTACATACATTCGTTCTTGGAATTTCCTCGGGACTTGAATGAACGCGGCCAATTATCTCACACAATATTATACCATAGGAAAAGATATCGACCTAAACAACGTTAAAACGTACAGTTTGATACACTTTGCTTCTATCACACGATGTTTAACCATTTAATAAAATACGAGAAAATTTTATTGGATTAGGTGTAAAATTTGTAGCAACAGTAAAATGTATGAAATCATCGGATTAATTTTGAAACAAATGCAAGAGGTACAAGGGACCGGTCATAAAGTAACTGCCAGGGTGGGCTGGAGTTATTTGGGATGGGCCATGGAAAATGTTTGGGCAGTTTCGATGGGCCGCCAATTTTTTTGTATGTCCACGGTTGGTTATATTACATAAAGATATTAATAAAAAAGTAAACAAAACTATCCAAAATATCAAATGGAAATGATGCTATTGAAGCCAGTACTTTGTTTTATACAACAACAAGAAGTGAATATAACCAACAGGAGAGCAGCTCAGTATCGTAATTGGTGATCAATGTGTTTGTCAAGCTTGGTTGAATTACGTATGTCAATACAGTGTCGGTGTATATTTAAGGGTTTTTTTATTATAAGTGTACTATTTTCCCAAATTAGATTGGGTGGGTGGGTCATCAAATAAATTTGGTAAGATTAGATGGGCTTTGAAATTTTTATGTACATTCTAAGATGGGTCACCAAACTTATTGGCAAAATTTGTGATTTGCCTCCAGCCCACCCTAGCAGTTACTTTATGACCAGTCCCTAAGTTATTTTACAACGACGTTTCCATGCTATTTCACGCATCATTTTCAAGTTGAATTAATTAATCTACAACTAATTAATTAATTAATTAATTAATTTGTCGAATTAGTTTAATTAATTCACTTCTGTGATTGGTGGAACAATAATAAGAACCGAAACTATCTATCTTCGTGAAGTGGTGATGCTGTTTATGACAACTGTGTTTACAACAAATATAGATAACCTGTTAAAATGACAAAACCCTTGAATAAGGCTTGAAAGATAGACGTAAATTAAAAAAGGCTGTATACGACAATATAGCTATCATCCTTTTTCCGCGTTTTATGTATTTTCCGCATTTTATCGTCTTTTCCGCATTTCATCGTCTTTTTCGCATGTTATCCCCTTTCCGCGTTTTATCCCTTCTCCGTGTCTTATTCCAAGTTTCATCCACTGTCTTTTGGCAATCATTTATTTCCGCCGTGACCCATGCAACTTACGGTTTCATTATATTGATCATGTCTCAAGACTTCTGGCGCCATCCAATACGGAGATCCAACAACTTTTAGCTTCTTTTTCCTTTTAAACAGAAAGTAAATGCATTTTCCAAACCACAATTCGTTATTTACTGTATGATTGACATGATACGAGAAGCATGTTCAGGTTTATTAAATTAGAATCAAAGGGATAATATTTTTACATTTGGAAGTGATCTAATCTACACGTGTTACATCAGTACATCATGATATTATGATTTACGGCTATCGTGCACAACTCTAAAACACTGAAAAATAGACAACGTATGTCAGATAATCTCTCTAGATATACTTATGTGTGCTACTAAATCGATGACAACTGGCCTCTGTACTGTGGTACGTAGCTCAGTAATTGGTTATAGTGCTGCACCGGGATCACACGGCCGCAAAATTCACGGTCGCAGGTTCGATTCCTACCAGGGACCTAAAGTTGCATTTTTCGCAGCTGTTCCTGGTTAGGTCTAATAAATGTATATAAATTCCACTTGATATTACCCTTCAACTATTATTCAATCGAGTGAGATGCCAACAAAATCTTGATATTTACCCATAAGGTAGAAGTTAATATTTGCAAACAGAACTGAATATCAAATACCCATCACTTGCAAATAGAAATGTTTGCGTGACGCAAACGCATCACGATAATTTGCACCTCATTCTTTTGTATCAAAAGAAAGAAGCAACCTTGCGGAACGGCACGAAAAGGGCCTTATCTTTCATGTTGACGGATATGTTTTGACACATATATAACGAGGTCATTATAGAACTGTGACGTAATAAATAATTTGATTTTCAAAGTCCAATATCTTCAAGTTTTTATACAAATCATAACATAAAAACGTAACTACGTAAACGTAATAAGTATTTCACAATCTTCATCGAACATTCGCTCAAAAAACAAGTTGTTCATGTCATCTGATCGGTACTTGCTAATTACAAGCCTGTAAGAATTGCATGATATTTAATAACCTAGCTATGACTCTCCCATGTTTATGATACGGCTATCACGCAAGAATCAAAGCTATAATCATGTCATCGGTTATAGACAGGAATGACAAATGCACTCCCCATATAATGTCAAATGCCAGACTGTTTACAAATTCCCAAACGTTTACGTCTTATAAAAGTATTAACTCAAGACAGGAAACCGTGAGAACGTTTTCAATTGGCAAATCGTTCGTCTCCTACAAACTAAAAATGTTTGAAGTCAACATATTATTAGCTTTAAACATTTTGTTAAGTACACAAGTCTTAAAAGCCTTGAGAGTTTTGACTAGTATAGAGGAAGGAAATGGGTGACCGCAAGGTTATCTTTATTACAGCTGTCGTCCTGCAGACACTGCAGTGCAGGGTGCACTCATTAAACGTCTATACATCCAGCTCCACAACGCCTGCTTTATTAAGACGGATTTGATAGCTAGTTTATAGAAACATAGGAATTGTCATAGAACATGTAGTTGTATGAAACTCAACAAGCAACAATTCCCCAAACTGCAATGCCATGGAAATGACAATGTTAAAACCACATTACTCATAAAGTATGTATACAGTATATATATGGCGGTGTCAATTTGGTAGCGGGAAACGGCATGGAAGGAGGAATTTAGGTTAAAAAATATATGCCTATGGCTATGCCTATGGAAAACGCGCAGGATTATTTAATAACCCTATTATGGACTCTCATTTGTCATTTCCAAATAATTTTTTCGAGTTCATTTATCATTCTAAAATGTCGAACTTTATAATTCATGATACCGTGGGCGGATACAGGTTAACACCTGTGTGGCCTGTATTTCACTGGAATATAGCGATAGACATTTATTTCAGGTTGCTTAATTAATCAAACTTGAAAATGCACTTTAGTCGGCTTTACCGAACGAAATGCCCGCCTTAATTCATTCGAGAAAAACGGAGTAGGCGTTACACTATTAGTAGCGTACATAATAGCGTAAAAAACCCAATAAAATTGCGTGAATTATACACAAAGTCAAAGAGCGATTTATGGCAACTTACGTCAGTTATATATGCAAATGTGTCGCAGTTTGATCAGAGGAAAATGTGACAAGCTTACAGATGATTTCACATAACACATTGTGGCATATTTAATTTACTAGGTATATTCATTATACAGAGCTATAGGAAAGAAACAAAGCACTACTGAACAGCTCAGCTTAATTGCGATTAGGAAAATAATAGCTACGTCTCTATTTCTCCAATCCGTTTATGATGTCTGCACGCATTAACCTTTTGATTTGTATGCGACTTACAGATATAAAACCATAATTTAAAGCTCATATCTGACCGACAAATGTTTGAAAAGTTATAGGACGGTATAGACAAGTATTATACATTGATGTACATATAGATTATAGTTTATATAAATGTGACCGGTGGACCGCACGTGGGAAGCCATATTAACCCACATGTCAAGACATTGGAACGCTGTTCCCTGTCACTCTGTTTCTTTCACTTTGTTAAAAGTTGTAAACGAAAAACTTATTTTCTCTAGTTTATGGATTATGCCTTATGGGTTGTGGATGTTTTTAACATAAAGTTTAACTCATCAGCTTATACCAAAGTATTATGTTTCATAGTTTCAGACAAATTTACTGGTAAACAAGCAAGAATGCTTGTGTTTGTTGATTAGCTGACATGAATCAATCAATATATGGATTTTGACATATACTACATTTTTTGTGGATCAACCATCAGCAACCAGTTGTTCGAGACTAAATTTAAGGTGGCTCAATACAGTTTTCAAAAATTCAGGTGTTTAACACTTTGACATGTTCAAACTACGCATTTTTAGGATTTATTCAGCAGATATTGGGTTTTTTTATATATTTTGATAACTCTACTTTCAAATTATATTCGTTTTAGTAACAGATAGTTCGTTGCTATGACGACATACGTGTACGAAATTGACTCCAAAATGGCCTATCGTCTCGTATAGTTGGAAAAAAAGCATGGTGACCCCCAACTTTTTTTCGTGCATTATTTTACTTGGACTTAAAGCTAACAATTAGCAAAATATAAAAAATTTCTGTAATGCCATTTTTTTGGAAAATGCGAAAATGTCATATTCTTTGGTAACATTTTTTTGGCATTACAGAATTTTTTTATTTTTTGTATAATGAAAATTTTTAGCGGTGCAATACAGCATGCAAAATTTGAACATAGGTCACCAGACAAAATAAAGAGATATAGCGCATTGTTTTTCTAAAATGGAAAATTCTAATGACGTCAGCAATTGACATAAAACGCTATAGAACACGCGCAATGGCGTGAGATGGCGCGAGCAACTGCTCACGTCAGGTCATTTTGGAAGTTCTTTCATTTTGTTAATCAGTTTCCGCCATCTGCGCGTAAAAATGGTCAACCGGTTTTGAGTTCGCGATTCTTGAACAGGATTTTTGTGATAACTATATCGAGCCACCTTAACCTAGGTCCAGGATTAAGCTAACTGGCTTTCAAACAACCAGTCCCAGGTCCAAGGAGAGTGCAGCACATCATTCCTATTAGAGGTGTGCAAATCCGATACGAATCTGATCCGATTGGTTTGAATTTCGGAACAAAAATATTCATTTCGGATTGGATCGGATTGATAAAGTTGTTTTATAGTCGGATCGTACTTCGATATTCAAAATAAAATGAATTAATTATACATATTAATAATTATTATTTGGTTAAATATTTCCACTTGAATTAGAAATTTATTTTATTAAAGTATTCTTTGGATCGGAATTCTTTATCAAAACTCGGATCGGATTCGGATTAGACAATTTCGGATCGGATCGGGTTTTAAACATTAGCCAATTGTCGGATTATAAACGTCCAATCCAATCCGATGCACACCTCTAATTCCTAGTTACTTCATCTCACTACAGACTCATTCTTTATACAAATTCGAGTGTGTGCAAGACTTGGTTAATAATAAAACAACCTTTGATAATACTTCTATACTACACCAACCTACTACATTGGAACTGTTATAAAATTTCTATTCAACTGGTTAAATTTTGAAGCATTTTGACAGTTAATATTAGGGAAATGTTTCATTTTAGTTTTTTTCTGTTTAACTGCAAGAGCATACAGCGTTTTGTGAGGGCCCCCTATACCTCTTCACAATATGCTTTCACGTAAAAATATTTTGCCTTTTCACGAGTCACAGATTAAGAAAATCATCGATCACGTTTCACGGCTAAGTAAAATAAGCCCTTCACGCTTCACGCAAAAAGTATAGGGGGCCCTCTTTTGTCGCAAAGGCACTGTTGGATATTCTAAAAGTTAAATATTGAATGATATTGGATAATGTTTGTTACAAACGTACAATGTGTAAAATTAACATACCTTGATGGAATTTTGGCAGCTAGACCAAAGTCTGCAACGACTGCAGTGTAACCATTGCTCTCGTTTGAAATTAGCACATTCTAGATAAGAAAGAACAAACGGAATTTAGTTGAAATTATCATTACAAACACTCAAGTTTGTCAGCATGTTTATCTTTTAAGAGGCGGATACAACGGAATGTAAATATATTCACTTAGTATCGCGAAATCTGTAAACAAACCTTAGATGCTAAATCGCGATGGATTACCCCAACACTATGCAGATAGGCCATGCCTTTGGAAATATCATGGGCAAGCTTCATACGCAGGGACCACGGCAATGGCTCTCTACTGTCTTCAACAACTTCCTCTAAATTGCCAATTTCCATATACTACAAAACACCATAAATACCCTTTATTAAAATTAAAAATCTTCCATGTTTACTTAATTAAAGCACACAATCAGCAAAATCAAACGAGTTAGTTCGCATTTATTTATTTACAAAAATACTTCCATTACAAATTATAATATTATGCAACTCTCACCTCGGTAAGCAAGTGAATTCCAGAAGTGTCGAGACATACACCAAGAAATCTATTATAAACACACAAAGGACGATTTAATAATTGCTGCATTTGCAAGAACTATTATTGTTTTGGAAATTATTAAAACTTCGTCTCCTGGAGCGATGTAGCAATTTATACAATGCAAGCCACAAAGCTACAAAACAAATTCAAGAGAGAAAACGAAAACTCTCAGACATGCCTTAATATATTGGGATGCTTCAACCGAGCCATAAGTCGTATTTCCGCACACATTAGTTTCATCTTGGTTGCTTTCTTCATAGTCTTGATGACAAATATTTTGCCGGTTTTTGAATCCGTAGCCTACAATAAGAATGCATGGATCGAAGTCAGTAACTTTATAGACAAAGAGGTAAACAAATAAGTGCAAACTTATATACAATATAGTAGGCTGTATTTCATGCATCGAAGTTGTCTATATAATGTTCAGCTGTCTGTAACACTTTATCACTACATAATAAACAAGACAAGCTCCTTTGAAAATGTTGTTTTATTTGTGTGTGAAAGTCAGTATTATTACGTGACAATGACAACGTCTATAGCTACATTCCGAGCTACATTCACTGAATTTACCAAGATTATTGCTGCAGTGCAGGGCACTATTAAATTTACTAAAATTTGCCACAACTTGTATTTTTATATACAGTACTACAAACATCTTACGCTTCTATTCATACTTACATGATTTATTGCACGTAGTTTAAATAAACATTTTTCAATCGTTACAATCGCAAACAAACCCTTTTCAATCGTTGTAATAAGTTCCAGAATTCATGTTTCGGGTTTTAACTATAATAGTACTAGAAGCGTCGAAGCATCGAAGCACAGACAAAGACTGCTTGATGTTCTGACATTGTGTTGAAATATTAAATTAGAACGCTATAATATATAGCTTTTAATCATTGCTACCTTGTATATATCACCAAAGAAGCCATCTCCTATTTTCTCTAAGGTCAAACTATCTGCATGATATATCTCCCAGTCATTGACATCGTGTGGTATACTCTTGACAAAACTGTCAATATCTACTTCTTCAGTGTCGCTCTCGTAAGGCGATGGATCGTCTAGCACATCTGTCTCGGTGTCTTCTTCGACATCGGGTGCAGAAAGCCGGCATTCTAGCCTAATTTCGCTGTTCTCAGCCATATATACGTTTCAATGCGTATAAACCTTGCCAGTTCACAACAGTCCATCTCAATGGAACTGAACTGAAAGAGCGGTAATCGAACTCCGACTGGCTCACTGGCGAACAAAAAGCTTCGTTCTTGGCAAGGCTCTGACTTCCCATTACAAGTAATTCCTTATATTCTTGGCTAAAATGCCTTAAATTAGGTTTGGACTTCACCATAATCGTAAGCTAAGGGCCTGGGTTTTTTCCATTTTGGTAATTACTAATTAGTGCCCTAAAAAATACAAATTAGGGTCTCTGAAATATTGTCTCATTTGGGAACTGGGATTTTTAGCAGTGCTTTCAAAACGAATTTCGTATTGTCGGGTCTGAGAACATTTTCCTGTAAGAAATTTCTGCAGTTCTTAAATCTGAATGCCTTAGACCGTATTACTGTATTTTGAAAAGTATTTTGCATAAATAGCAGAAAAATTGACTGAATTTTTCGAGGAATTTTTAAATATATTTTCAAATATTAGAAAAAACTTTAGAAATTCATTTCCTTAAAAATCTTTTAAAGAGGTCCAAATTTCCTCAGTTTAAGGAAATTTGCTTATTCTTTGCCACTCGTGCCAAGCTCCAAAACCGCGTGGTACGCTCGCGTGTGCAAGGTACATCGCCACTTGTCGTGACCGGAAGAACCGAAAGCGATTCAATCTCGCCACGAGTTTCATGGTCACTTGCCAGCGGATTCCCGCCAGACATCTCTAAAAATGTGAGAATTAACTCATTGGAATAATAGTTTTGAATTATCACAAGTGTAGTGAGGAACAGGTGTACGGGCGGAATTAGGGGGTCAGACAAAAAATTCCTAGATGCCCGAGATTATCACGGGCGTTGTGAAAACCCGGAATGCCGGAATATCACGGAATATGGCGGAATATCACGGAATATGCCGGAATATCACGGAATATGCCGGAATATTGCGACATTTTCCCGGAATATACCGGAACATCACGATATTTGAATGATAGCCATGGGCATGTACTAAAAGGCGAAACGTCGAAACGAAACGACCGAAACGAAACGGCCGAAAATGTAAATTACAGGAAAATTGAAAAATGCGGATACGGACGGACGGGAGGGGGACAGGCGGATGGACGGGGGGACAGGCGGATGGACGGGGGGGACGGCTTCATTTGACACGAAACTCAATTTTAAAATCAAATCCGCGTTTTGTTGAAAGGGATATATTAGGATATATTATAATAGACTATTATTAATCGTAATAAATTGTCCGCGAAAAGTTGATAAATACATGTGGAAATGCGGGGTTTTTCAAACCTTCGTAACGCTTGATCGGATAAAACGCGGATATGCTGCAACTTTCATGCTTAATTTTCTCAGTCATCTGGGTATGTAGTAATCTAATTTTATGCAATGTAATGTGTTATATTTTCAAGGGCTTTTCAATGCAGTTATCGGTTTAAATATACCTAAAATTCCCGTTAAGAGATATGACAATTGCCGTACGGCCTACTTTTACGCAAACGAAAATTTAATTTAGCTACAATTGCAAAAATTTTATGCTTAATTTTCTCTGTTATCCGGGCACGTAGTAATGTAATTTTATGCCAATATGATGTGCTGATGAAATTTGCAGTTGTAATTTGCGTTTGCGTAAAAGTAGTCCGTACGGCAATTGTCATATCTCAACGGGAATTTGAGTTATATTTAAACCGATAACTGCATTGAAAAGTCCTTGAAAAAACAGCACATTACATTGCATAAAATTAGATTACTACATACCCAGATAACAGAGAAAATTAAGCATGAAATTTTTGCAATTGTAGCTAAATTAAATTTTCGTTTGCGTAAAAGTAGGCCGTACGGCAATTGTCATATCTCTTAACGGGAATTTGAGTTATATTTAAACCGATAACTGCATTGAAAAGCCCTTGAAAATATAACCCATTACATTGCATAAAATTAGATTACTACATACCCAGATGACTGAGAAAATTAAGCATGAAAGTTGCAGCATATCCGCGTTTTATCCGATCAAGCGTTACGAAGGTTTGAAAAACTCTGCATTTCCACATGTATTTTATCAACTTTTCGCGGACAATTTATTACGATTAATAATAGTCTTTTATACTATATCCTAATATATCCCTTTCAACAAAACGAGGATTTGATTTTAAAATTGAGTTTCGTGTCAAATGAAGCCGCCCCCCCTGTCCACCCCCCTCTTTCCCCGTCCATCCACCTGTCCCCCCCGTCCATCCGCCTCTTCCCCCGTCCATCCGCCTGTCTCCCCCGTCCATCCGCCTGTCCCCCCCGTCCGTCCGTCCGTATCCGCATTTTTCAATTTTCCTGTAATTTACATTTTCGGCCGTTTCGTTTCGGTCGTTTCGTTTCGCTTGTTTCGTTTCGGTCGTTTCGTTTCGGTTGTTTCGTTTCGGTCGTTTCGTTTCGGTCGTTTCGGTCGTTTCGATGGTTTCGGCCGTTTCGTTTCGGTCGTTTCGTTTCGACGTTTCGCCTTTTAGTACATGCCATTTTTTTGTGTAACGAAATCTATAACACTTGTCAATCATATTGCATGCTGTGTCTAAAAATAACATGTGAGCGTCCCACGGTCTAGACAGGTTTTGTGTCAGGCCCTCTGTGTCAGGCCCTATTTAAAATTAGGGCCTGAACTTCAGGTTAAGTTAGCATGTTCTCATAGGTTGATATATAATTAACTAAGATTTCCGAATTATACGCCACGCCTCCAAAAAACTTCTTATGCTAGGAGCGGTCATCTCATTGGACGATTCTAAATGTAATTGACGTTTGAGCAAGAATACCGGCAAAGGATTGGATAACTTTGATCTCTGACGTCACTTTCCTGTGATAATTGCTCGAAACCAAATACAGTACCGTTTCGTTCCTGCGGGGAACGAAACATAACTCATTAATAATTCTTGAAGCAATTATCCAATCTTGAGTAAGAAATTAGTCACGTGCATACGTCTTTATACCAGCTAAAGAACACTTTAACAAAAGACCATTGTTATGTAAACTATATAAAGATTTTCATATAAAGATTTTTATATAAAGATTTTTATATAAAGATTTTTATATAAAGATTTGACTTATTATGCATACGTTTTTGAAGTCATTTAAAAAACTCGCGGGTCGTGTTTTATTAGGTCTAAAGCCACTCGCGCTGCGCGCTCATGGCTTTAAACCTAATAAAACACTCCTGCTCGTTTTTTAAATAGTACATTATACATACAAAAGCAAGATGTTATAAGCATTCAAGGCATTCATAGAAAGTAGAATTAGAATATTTAGCTGACCTTCGACTTTGTGCAAGGTGTTTGATATTCAAATTGCATTTTTCAGTCTTCCTGCATCCTGAACAGGCGTATTAGCAATCTCGTACCCAGAGTTTGCCCGTTCGCAAGTTAGGTCATGCCCAGCACCTAACCTGTGAACGGGCATACTCTGGGCTGTTTACATGATGGAAGTTGGGATGATTTTGTTGTATTGAAATAAGTCACTAGGCTAAACGAAAGTTCAAATGCTGGCTATAACCGAACTCAAATGTTGTAGAGAAGATCATGTAGTTCAAGATTTTTATAGCTTTTTGAACAACCTTTCGATTACAGTTAACTATAATCCATCTCTAGAAAATAAAGTTTTTCACAAAATCATCGCGCCTTATATCTCGTCCTGGCAAAGCGGTTTAAGCGGGATCCGTATAAACAGCCCTTATTTAGCAAATTGCGTATGCTCCCTTGCTTTTAACCCTTGGGGGTGAGGAAGCACTTTCCTTGCGATAGTAACTTCTAGTAATAAACTACTTGCTCGGACAGAAATGCAGAACATTGAATTTCCAGCGTTCCTTTTACAAGAGCCGTTACAACATGGAATCTGCACTAACAGTTTTTCTGTAATTTTTTGCAGAACTGGCATCTCACTGAACTGAAATACTGAACGTAAAGATTCTGAACGTGTATAATTATGCGTTTTTAGTAGATGGAAGTTTCAAGCGAAAATTTACTTACAACATTAGACCTGACCATCGGGAGCGGTTGCAAAAAATGCGAACCTGCGATCGGAGTCAGAGTGCTGCACCAGATCGCAAGGCAGCAGGTTCGATTCCTACCGGAGTTCCTAAAGTTGCATCGTTTCTCAGGCTAAACTGCTCCCAAAATTACAGGCTAAACTCCTCTCTAAGGCTATGTGCACACGGGCGTCGTTTTGCAGCGTTTTCAAAAACGTTTTTGTCCGTAAAATCGTTTTAACACCGTATTCGCACAGCCCAAAGGAAAATATCTCGGATATATTAAATAAACTACAACTTCTGTCGTAAATTGATAGTGTTTGTATCCGTTTTAGCGTGAAAACACAAATGAAAACGCTCGAAAACGTTACCGTGTGAACATAGTCTAAAATTGTCCATAAATTTTCGCTCCAAATTTAATTCAATCTACTAAAACTGAACCGCCATCTAGATAAGATTCATAATGGATTAGTTGTGATAGATAAAGATAACAGAAAGTCGTACGTGTTAGCATGCAGTCAGACAGTCTATTCGTATAAGGTTCCACCATCTCATGTGGATTAATTATTCATATATCTATATTTTGATTTTATATTGACATTTAGTAGAATCATACTAGTATCCACAAACAAAACTATTACATACTAGTATACTATTGCAAATGCTGTAATTTGATTGGCTACGTACTGAGTCGTACTCTACTCGCTATCTATTCCTCGATATAGATAGCGAGTAGCAAAACAATTATTTTCCTGATGCATTTAAAAATTAGATTTCTATAAGGTGATAGTTTAAAAATTAGATTTCTATGAGGCGAGGTGATATTTCTCGATTTCTATTAGGTGATAGTTGATCGGGCTTCGCCCTCATCAACTATCACCTCATAGAAATCTCGTAATCTAATTGTTAAATAGTGATTACCCAGAGCAATGTCTGTGCGCGGGCGAGGGAGCTAGGCATTGGCTCTGGGGAAATATAATTTTTCCTGTGATGTGATTGGTTTAACGTTTAAGGGGTTCCGGTTGTCTATTTCCCCAGAGCCAATGCATATGCCCTGCAATGCACATGCATTGCTCTGGGTACGAG